GGTGATTTCAGAGAGGGAGAGAGATAAAAACATCAATGATGAGAGAGAATCATTGATTGGCTGTTTCCTGCACACCCCATACTGGGGTTCAACCCACAACCCCAGGACATGCCCGTCTAGGAACTGAACTGAACTGTGAGCTCCTGGTTCATAGGTTGATCCTCAACTACTGAACCACACTGGCCAGGCCTTTTTAGTCAACTGGAGTCAGCATGCAAGATAACATTTATTTTATGTTGATAGTGAAATGGGGTATTTTGGTAAAATGTGCACTCATTTCATTATCCAGTCAGTACCTTGTGCCTGTCTAGTTTAGACAAAAGCTCTAGGTCAGTCGTGTCTGACACACCACCATGAAGAATCAGGACTTTCTCATCCACCAGCGTGGCCAGTGGAAGCCAACAGAAAACATCTTGCAGTCTTTGTAGTATTTTCTTGCCATGCGTCTGAAAAATGATATGCACAAGACACTAAGTTTTAAATACTTCAGTCAACTATTCAGAGCTCAGAGAAACTTTTGCTTTTAGAGGCAGCACACCTTATATTTTTGCATCACTTCCTTGGTGAAGCCATATCTAGATTTAAAAGCAAAAAAATAGATATTAAATTTAGTGACAATAGTTATGACACAATTGCATTTTTATAAAATACATATTCTTATACATGTACTTAACTATATAGAAAAGAGACTAATCATCAAAATGTCTACAATTAAACATTATCTCTGGGTAAACAAGTTATCGTATATTTTAATTTTTCTTCCTTTTGCTTATCTGTATTCCTTAATTTTTCTGTAGTTAAACTTTATTGTTTATATGATAAAGAGTATGGGTATGTAAAAAAAATTTAATGGTCTTATTAGAATAGTAGGATAATGTGTAAATTTTTTTTAAAACTTTTAAAATGTTATATCTTGTGTATTCTACTTTATAAAATTGAAAAAGTATTTTAAAAAGCAGCTAGCAGATAAGGAACTCTGACAAAATAACTTTTTACAATTGCAACAAGTAAATATCAAATACCAAGCATGTTTTGGTTTTACCGTAAGTTCACCATGTGGTCCTCATGGTTTCCTCGGTTAAGATGGAACTCTTTGGGGTAAACCAACATGAAGGCAAAAAGGACCATCAGGATCTCTACCGAATCCTTGCCTCGATCCACAAAATCACCGTTGAACACATAGGCTCGCTCTGGGGATGGGAGGCCATTCTTCCCAACAAGGATTCAAGTCCCAGAAGAGGCAGAGAAAGAAGGGAGTAGGAAATCAGGTTAGGCCAACGTGTACTTGACATTTACATCAGATCTAACACCAGTTCTGAGTTTTTGGCTCTCCTCCAAATGTAAAACGTCAGTAAGAGGTGGAAATATTTTCTCTTGGTCTTATATTTCCTTTCCAGCCAGGCTGAGGTTATGACATGTCCATAAAAATAAATGTTTTACGCAAAGCCAGAGAGTTGGAATGTGGTATGTGCAAAGGACACTGAACTTGTGATCCAAAGGCCAGTTTTAAGTCCTGGCAGCATTGTTTTTAATGAACAATAACAACTGCCAGAGATTCCTTAGGATTAAACAACATAATACATGGCAACATGCTTTGGGAAATGCAGTATATCTACAAAGTTATATTACATAAACAGAAAATTCATATACTATATGTTGCTATATGCTCTGCATTTTATAATTAAAAATTGATATGAAAATAGCTTTCAACTGCTTTGATAATAAATAATTCTCTTTATTTGAAAAAAAGAAAATCAATTGCTGAATAATGATTCCTTCTCTTTATTAACCTCAGATTTTGTATTTTTTAAACAGTTTATATAGTGGAATATAATGCAATGCTGGCTTTTATATTATATATTGTCTACTGTGTGTTCTAATGTTTTCTATATGTATAAATATGCTATGTATATCTAATATTTTAAAATCCAAGCAATACTTAATAATTTGTTTATTAGATACTGTATTCAAACTTCTAAATTATACCTCAGAGAAAGACAGAAACTTAAATTGAACATTCATACCTTATGAAATATGAATATTAAGTCATCCAACTGACCATGTAAATCTCCTAACAAAAACAGAAAAGGAATATCAATTTTGGTTGGTCCTTACCATTGTTTCTCATTTTTTTACTCTAAAAAAGGAAAATACCCAGAAAAAAACTAGCAAGGTTAAGAAACTTATGGTTAGTCACTTTTCCACATGTAAGATAGGAGTAATTATTAATTTCCCTTGTTGCAGGGGTAGTTAATATTGAAAGCAGAAACACAATATTTCTCCTGCATACTTATCATAAATAATAAATAACCTGTCTTCTTACTGAAGCAAAGATGGGGCAGAATAGCAAGGGGCTGCAAACCCAGATGAGAATGGAAGACACTTCACCCCATCTAGAACAGAAGCTGCAACTCCCTATGGGTCAGTCTTGCAAGATTTTTCAAGAGAAGTTGGGAATCTGGATTTTAATATGAAATCCTCTAATTTTCAAATATTGGAAACTAATTTTTAAAATTTAAGACTATTTCAGGACCTATCTGTACACTGCATGTTCCTAGAAGTGCCATTTTACAATACCTGCTGTACCACAGTCTGCCTCCCCTAAATTAAAGGGTGGGGTGTCCATCTATAATATAAAGTGTGGGGGACCATCTAAAATATCACTGAAAACATAAGGAGGTGGAAAAATTGACACTAACAGGATTTCTGTCTGGGACAATATATGTGGATGGCGGGAATATTCACTAAGCTTTAGGGCCTGGTCAAGCAATCTATATATATAAAAGCCAAGCGACTGGAATGCCAGAACGACAGGAACAACTGGTTGCTTTGACAGGCACTGCGGCCCTGATCGCCCCCTTCCCCAATTGGGGGCAGGGCCCCCCACCTGTGCATGAATTCATGCACCCGGCCTCTAGTTATAAATAAACTATCTAACAAGGGAGGGTCTGCAGGGTTTTTGTTATGAATGGAGAGCATGAGTTTGGAGTCAAATATGAATTGCTTGGTAAAATAAAGAAGAGGCTGGGCCCTGTGACCCCCTAGTCCTTCACTGAACCACCTCTAGTTTAAGAAACTGGAGCAAATATGCAATTGCTCTCAGTGTGAGGGAGTGAAGTCGACCTGCCCACATGGCCATTGAGTCCCGTCCCCCTCCCCTTCTCTTTCCCCCACTCCCCCCAGCCTTGCCTTTCCTCCTCCCCCATCACAGGCAGAGTTTTCTAGTTTGGGTCTAGCATATAAAACCAATTCAGACCAGCTCTTACCACATACTGTGATCTCCTCACTGTAACAGGTGGAGACCCGATTGATGTTTGGCAGCTGTACCAGATGTTTTCTGGTTTCATGCAAAAGATTCAAGACATAGCGAGCATGTAGCTGCTACTAGGAGGAAGAGGAGGGAGGGAACAGAATAACACTGATATTTGTGAGGGAAGATGGGCCTCCCCAAAAGTAAGCCTAGTCAACTGCCCCTGGGACCCTATGCACAGATCCTTTCTTTTTCATCCATTTCTACCCTTGTTTCTGCTTTTCACCGTCACCCAAATGTTGAACTAATTTCCTCTATCTGCTCTATGAAATCCCCCCTGGCCTTTAGCTGGGGAGAAACACATGATTGTTCAGCCAAGTATGAATAAGTGCATGCATGCTGATGGTACTGAGTAATCCTGACATTACTGAGAAAATCACCCCAACTCCTCCTGCAGTGAATTAATTCATATGAAAGAGGGAAGGATTAGAATCTGGCATAGAGCCAGAATCCGACACTTTTCCCCACCTCTGCTTCCACCACCAGCATTTCAAGCCACAATCATCTTTTGCCTGGACTATTGCAGTAGCCTCTTGACTTGGCCTCCCTGCTTCAGCCCTTGCTCCTTACACTCTATTCAGCACACAAAATGATTACTTTTAAAAGCAAGCCAGATGATAGCATTCCTGTGCTCAATGTCTCCCCATCTCTTTCAGAAGAATAAAAGTCACCCCCTGTCCTCTTTGCCTCCATCTCCTAATACTCTTTCCCTGGCTCCCTCCTCTTTGGCCACAATGGCCTTCCCAGGGCCCCTGGGCAGTCCAGGCAAGGTCCTGCCTCAGGCCCTTTCCAATTGTTCCCTCGGCCTGAAATGCTTTTCCCCAGATGTCCACATGGTGCATTCCCTCACCACCTTCATTTGACCTTTGCTCAGAAATCACCTTTTCAGAGGCCATCCCAGACCACTCGATAAAACTGCCCTCTCTCCCACCTAGAGCTTAGTTGATTCTTTTGCATAGCTCTTACCACCTTCTAATACACACAATTTACTTGGGGCCTGGGCAAGTAATAATAAATAAACTGTTCTGACAAGGGAGGGCCTGGCTATTTGGAGGGATTTTGTTCTGAATGGAGAGAATGAGTACATCGTTTACTCATTTATGGTTATTTATTATGTGTCTGTATCTCACTAGAATGTCAGCCCCATGAGGACAGGGAGTTGTGTCTGTCCTGCTCATTGCTGTGTCCCCATGTCCAGAACACGCTGGCTCATAGCGGTGCTCAATAATTATCTGTGGGATGGATGAACAAAGGGGGATTACATTATTAGGAGAAGTTTTGAGTGCGTAGGACCTGGTGATTGATCACAGGTCCTGGCTAAGCAAAGGAGGAGTGAGTGGAATCTCTCCAGTGGACCCATGACACAAACACCCTAAGTCTGGGGCCCCGCCTTCTGCCCTGATCTGCTCTCCCCCTGCAGGTGACCAGGAGTTGGTGGTGACTCGGGTTCCTGGGTGAGCTTACTTGTTTCAGCCTGAAAGCTTCCACCAGGGCAGTTGCTTGGTCAGGAAGGAGTGGGAAGGAGAGGTGTGGCCCCGTGTAATTGTCTGGCACCTCTATGGATTCATAGTCGCTGCATTTCTCTACCTCGGAGTCCTGGGGGACTCTCTCCTCAGTAAACATGCGGTTCAGGAAGTCCCCTGCCAGGACAGAAAGGGTGGCGGCTTACAATCAGACATGCAGTCAGTCCTCAGGCAACACAGAGGAGTCTTTCCTTGGACCAGAAAGTAGGTCCTCACTTAATGTTGTCTATAGGTTCAGTGACTTTAAGTGAAGGAAACAAGTTTCACCATAGGCTATTATATATAAACAAGAGTTATGTTCCTGCAGAATCTCGACAACCTTATAAAGTGTGAAGTGGCCAGTCTGGCATCAGCTCCAGCACAGGAGAGAGAAAGAAAAGGGGAAAGTGATGACAAGTTAGGATGGGCAGGAGGCAAAGGTTATGTATGTCCTTGTGTCAATTCCCTTCTCCTTTTATTTTAAAAGACTGAGATGTGTCAGACTTAGAAAGGATGCAAACTTAGGGGCCTAGGTTTGTTAAGAAGAAAAGAAAACCCTGGCCAATTTAGATCAGTGGTGGACTGGATTTGATTCCTGGTCGAGGGCATGTACCTTGGTTGCAGGATCCCCAGCCCTGGTGGGGGCGTGTGTGGGAGGCAACAAATCAATGTGTTTGTCTCACATCAATGTCTCTCTCTCTCTCTCTCCTCGCCCCCCTCCTCCTTCCCTTCCACTCTCTCTGGAAATCAATGGGAAAAATATCCTAGGGTGAAGATTAGGAAAGAAGAAAGAAGAAAGAAGGAAGAAGGAAGAAGGAAGGAGGGAGAGGGGGAGGGGGAGGGGAAAAGCCATGTGGGAAACAAGTTCCTGGGCATTTATGGTGCTCAGTGCCCTTCAGGCAATTTCCAACTGCCTGGCCCTGCATCTCTAGCCTGAAGGCTTTTCCCTGGATCCACAGAAAGCCCAGCTTGGCAGGCCTGAAATGCTGTGGAATTAACAATCCTTCCTGTCTGCCCCTCCCGGCAGCCTCCAACCAATGACTTTCAGGAGCTGCCAATATAAGGACTAGGTTCCCTGTGCCTTCAGGTGGGATCATTCGGGCGTGTGTTTTGCATTATTTCCCAGGCACATCGAGTTGCTAGCTTTCTTGGCTGCCTTCCCTTCCCTTCCCTGAATCCCTTCCCGCTCCTTCCCCACCCACCCTGTTTCCTGTATTTAACAAATAAACTCCTTGCACTCAAACTCTTGCCTCCAGGTGTGCTTCCGGGACAACCCAGAATACAAGTCCACTCTGCATTTATTTGTGGTCCTCCTTGCTCATTCCCAGCTGTCACCAGATTCACGTTTTCACTCCCTGTGCTCCCACCTCACCCCCGTAGGTCACCCCGAGACAGGAGGACGCGCCGTGCGGCAGCCCATACTCACTCTCACGGTGACTGCTGGGGGTGAAGTGGTCCACAAGGTAGCTGAAGAAATCGTGGAGCTACAGAACCCAAGAAGACTTAGCTTTAGAGGTGAGTGAGAGGAGGCCCAGGAGTGGTCCAGATCAGCTACACCTCTGGGCACCTGGGCCTTGCTGCCCAGGGGCTGGAAGGCGGAGCTGGAGGCGTCCCACATCCCACCGCACCTTGACCTGGTCTTGCTGCCCAGCGTACTCCATGGACTGGAAGATGCTCCAGGTGCACTGCCGCCTCATCTCCAGGCGTGCCATGTAGCGCCGGTACCATCTCTGGATCAGGGCCGCTGCCTTGAAGGCTGTGACATGGATGGGGAAGCAAGCCTGTGAGCTGGGGTTCCCTGGGCCTGGGAGGAGGGGAGGGGCACCTCTCCCACTGTAATGTGGGGACAAGACGGTGGAGAAGGCACAGGCCGTTGGTGCTGGTAGGAAGGACTTGCCTTCCCCCTGGCTGCCCGTCGCAATACCGCCACGACGGTGCTGCCTATCGAACACACAGGCAGCCTTTGGGCTGTGCTTTTGCCAGGACCTGTGCTGGGTGACTGTCACCACAGGATGGCCTGAGGACTTATAATTCTTCATATGGGCTTTGGGACCTGTGGTCCATAGAGCAGGACAGCTGTCCATATAAATAACTAGATTCGTCTTAAGCTCAAGGCCTGGATGTGCCGCCGGGGGTGAATGAGGTTATTTGTAGATAAAGCTGGATCGCACAGGAAAGCCTGCAGGTTCACTCAGGTCAGCCGCGTGAACGGTAGACAGATTGACTTAATATATTTAGCTTGCATTAGGGAGCTAATACAATTCTTGCTGATTTCCCTAAGAAGAAAAACGATGGTGGAGTGGGAAAAGAGAACCTGGGAGGAATTTAAGCACAGCTGAATTTGATTTCCTATGAGTGGGGAAAAAGTCATACTGTAAATATTTCTCAAAGGCACTTACTAAATTATAAGTGATGAGGTTGAAGCTCTACCAATTGCATTCTGTAAATGCATGTTCAGAAGAGTGACAGACACGCCCAGGGTAAGCGCTACAGACTCCTTAAGAACACGTGGGAAACACATGGGGATCTGGACCTCGCCCTAGACTTGTAGCATCAGAATCTCTACAGGGAACCCAGAAATTTGCAGATTTAACAAGCTCCACATGTGACTCTTACTTGCACTAAAGTGTAAGCAGCACTGAAGAATATCATGGCCATTAAGTTTCCCTGAAAATGTTGTTTGCTAACACCTCGCCTCACGCATTTTAAGGCAAGTACTGCCAAGTAGACATACTTATATCCTGTGTCCTGCTTTGGCCACTTAGGGCCGGGGGAGCAGGCAGCGCCTCTCTCTGCCTCTTTATTCTCCTTCCAGTTCTCTCTCTGGGGCTGGGGTTATCTTTAATTGAGATGGGCACTGTGAGGTACAAGATAGTTTTAGATCCTTTTTCCCATCCTCCCTCCCCACAGCACAATACATTACACTTGAGCACTTCTTGCTCCGGTATTGTGTAAACTAAATGCTAGGGTGCACGTTACAAATACACCTGATTGCTCAAACCCCATAGGAAGATGCTCAAACCCCATAGGAAGATGCTCAAACCCCATAGGAAGATCAAGGCAATCATGTGGGGAGAGAGCGGCCAAAGGGCGCCAAGGCTTCAGATACTGAATGAAGAGCTGTCATAGAGGTAGAGCTTCCAGCCCCAGCTGCCTTGAGGATCAGAGACAAACCACCCCAGCTGGACCCTTTTCAAATTTCTGACCCACAAAATCATGACCAGAATAAAATACTTGTCTTAAACGACTAAGTTTTGGGATAGTTTGTTACACAGCAACATATAATTGGAACAGTAAATGTATAAATGTTTTACAAAATTATAAAACAAATTAAAGTGAAAATCTCAATCTCTAAAAATCCAAAGCAAAAGTTAAACAAGTGATTCTAACCATGTTTAACTTGGTGGCATCACCTCACAGAAAAGAGTGACTGCAAATGACTTGAAAGTTCAGTAATTTGTACATCCCTAGTGGATATATCTGAAGATCAAAAGAACTGCAAAGGACTCTTAAAGAGTTTTCAGTAATCATATCGCTTATAATAGTATTTTTATATTACTCTGAAACTGTTATTTAAATGTCATGGGATAGAGTAAATAATACTATATTGATGTCATTAAGGATAAAGAGAAAAGAGACCCTATATAATAGAAGGCTAATATGCCAATCGACCAAACGGCAGAATGACCGGTCGCTATGATGCGCACTGACCACCAGGGGGCAGATGCTCAACGCAGGAGCTGCCCCTGGTGGTCAGTGCACTTCCAAAGGGGGAGCACCGCTCAGCCAGAAGCCTGGCTCACGGCTGGCAAGCGCAGCGGCAGTGGCAGGGCCTCTCCTGCCTCTACTGCAGCGCTAAGGAGCAGCAAGCCCAGTGGTAAGGAGCAGCCAGCAGGCAGGCAGTAAGGAGCGAAAGGTCCCAGACTGCGAGAGGGATGTCCAACTGCACAGGGCACAGGCCAGGCTGAGGGGACCACCCCCCCCCCCGCAAGTGCACATATTTCATGCACTGGGCCTCTAGTATAACTGTATCAAGGATGATAAGTAAAAATATTGTGATCCTAAATACAAATTGGTCATGATTATTTTTATTTAAATAATATATTTTTTCTGAATCTGTTCACTAAAATAATGTAGAAATAATAACTGACCTGGTAGCAATGAATACCCTACACCCTGGAGAATAGCTATTCCTGGTCTGGGATCAAAAATGTGCAAGTTGAGCCTAGGACATATTGCCCAACTACAAAGCAAGGAAGCTGCAAGCTTACAGAGATGCACAGGCCCCTGTAAACAAGGTGCTGTCACTATTCCCTTTGCCTCCTCCCACACCTCCGCTGCTCTCCTTGGCCTCCTTTGCTGGATCAACCTCTTTCTACCTGTTGCTTAAGTACTGGTATAAGTTTGGCTCTGTCCTAGACCCTGGTCTCTGATCTGGTTTTACTCTCACTCTAGGCTACTTCAGTGACCCTCATGGCTTCAACAACCATCTACACTCTGATGCCTTCCAAATGCACATATCTCCAGCCCAACATTCCCCCCAAATGCAGATCTGAATATGCAGCTGCCTACTTAGCACTTCCACCTGCATGTCTCATGGGCACCGCCAACCCAGAGTGCAGAAACTCATCAGCAGCGTGTATAAACTCATCATCTTCCCTCTAGTCAAACTTGGTTCTTCTCCTTTATCATTACATCAGTAAGTGGTATTATCATCTACACAGTGTTGGTAGCCGGAAACCTGGAGATCATTCTTGACCGATCCTTCTCCCTCACCTCATACATCTAATCAGTTAGATTCCGTCAAATCCACCTCCTGAATATTATTGTAGTTTACCCTATTCTCTCCATCTCTACTGCCACCAACTCTGGACTAAGACGTCATCACCTCTTGCTTAGATGACTTTGGTAGCTTCTAAACTGTTCTTTCTTCTCCTTCTCTTACCCCCTTCAATCCCTTCTTCATGGAAGCCAGAAGAGTTCTTTAAGTAAGGGTCTTTTAATATTAAAATCTTATTATAGAACTCCTATTTTTAATTCCTCAATGGTTCCTCATGCCTTTAGGATAAAGTTTAAAATTCTATAAGATCTCAGTGCTTTGGGCTCTGTCTACCTCCGCAGCCTCGTGTCATGCTACCCTCTATCTCACTCACTTCAAACCATTTAGTTCCTTGAATATGCCTCCCTCCTACTTACTTCATGACCTTTGTGCTGTACCCTCTACCTGGAGTGCTCTTTCATCCCTTTTTTGCCCAACCCATGTCACTCACTTATATAGTTTGGGATAAACCCCAATGAACAGCCTGACCCCTTGAGTGAATTTTAATTCTGTCAAATATACTTCACCAAGTCCTAAGATACTCAGCTGAACATTCTGCTGGTCATAGCACAAGAAGAAGCTGAAGAGTTGCATGAGGAGAAATATAATGGTTTTTGCTTCTATCCTGACAAGTCCCTCCTTTGCAACATAAACTTTGGGGTACCCAGAACTAGTTTGGGAGGTGGGAAACACATACCTTTTTCTGCATTCTGGAAAGCAAAATGATGGTGGGTTGAGGCGCCACTTCCCATGGTATAAGAACAATGTTTCTTCAGGACTCAGATAGCAAGTCCAAGGAAAAGTGAATTGTTTGCTGACAAAAGGAAGAGGATATCTTCAATAGGGAGGTTCAGGCAGAGTATTAGTTCAGGTGCAGCAAATTATCTATGAACCTTGTCTCCCACATAATAAAAAAAATTTGAGACTATCACCTCTCCAGTCTCAGTGCATGTGGTGTACCTCCCCTGAAAAGTCCCTCCATTTGTCAGTACATATCTCTTATGCTTTGTACTTTTCTACTAGCTTTCCCCTTACAGTCAAGAAACATACAGAAGTCTCCTCTCTTCTCAAAACAATCCATCATCACCATCATCATCATCGTCATCACTATCCTTTGACCTCCCATATTCCTCCAGCTATAACCCAACCTCTCTTTTCTTCACCTCCAGGAGTAGACTACATATTTTCTCCTTAATTCCTCTTCATACTTTAGACTACTTTTTAGAGCAACTTGCTGTTGTCAGAACAGCAAGGCCATCTGCCTCCACAAGCCACCCCTTAATTATAATTCTACTCCTTGGGCTTCCATGAGGCCAGACCCCCTTGTATTTACTCCTGCCTCTCTATTTACACTTTCTCCTTTTTGAGCTCATTTTTCTCTGTCCCTTTCTCAAATGTTGATTTTTATTTGTAATCTAGTCTTAAAGGTCAGCTCTCACTCTGTACAAACTCCCTGGATGATTTAATTAATTATCACATTTTTCAACTATCAGTTCCCACCTCTCAAATTCATCCAAGGCCATCCCTAAACATCAGCCCCATATACCCAGCTTCCTGCTAAACTTTCACTGGAGTGTCTTGGATTCCATGTATCACAAATAGAACTCATCTTCTCAAAAGCCTACTTTTCCAGCCTCATCTCCTTTCTTCAAACTCTGCGCTTTGACCACCACGACCTTTGTGGTTTTGCTCTTACCTGGAATAATCTTCCTATCCCATCCTTTCTAACTTGTCCAACTTGATTCATTCCTTAAGGCTCACCTTAGGCATCACCTCTCTTAAGGAAGCCAGTTGGACATGCCCCCTCTGAGCTCCTGAATATTCTATTCACATCTTCATCACTATAATACCATATTAAAAATTTCTACTTTGTGTCTTTCTACCATTGGACTGTGAGTTCCTTCAGAGCAAAGACTGGGTGTACAAATTCACCATTTTTATATCCAGGACTTAGCATGGTGCCTGATACTAGTAGGAATTCAATAAATATTAATTTAATTAACTTTATGCCATATTAATTTTTATACAACAAAGGTGAATCTTTCTCTAGCTCTTCTTCAGGAATCAATGTGAGATGTACTGACAATGTCAACAGTGGATTTCATTTCAATATTTTCCCCCCTCCCTCACTTCTACCTCACTCTCCTTCCTCTATTTTTGAAGGTTATTATATTGGGGATTGTCAACAAATTATCTTTTTCTTTGCAAATCCAAATGAAGGCCCACCTTACTTTTGTTGATTGACTTTTAAAAAATTAATATTCAAAGAAGACTATAATTTCTTTTCTTGTGAGCAAAATTGTTTCCAGATATAAGAGATGTCATGTAGTCCTAGCCAGTGCTCAGTTGTTAGAGCACCGGCCCATGGACTGAAGGGTCTCAGGTTTGATTCTGGTTAAGGGCACATACCTCAGCTGCAGGTTCACAGCCCCATGTGGGGACACATGCAGGGGGCTACCAATCGATATGTTTCTCTCACATCGATATTTCTCTGTCTCTGTCTCTCCCCCTTCCTTCCACTCTCTCTAAAAATCAATGGAAAAAATAGCCTCAGGTGAGGATTAACAAAAAGAAAAAAAGAAAAAAAGAAGAAAAGAAAGAAAAAAAAGATGTCGTGTAATCAGAATCTGAGCAGGAGGTAAAGTGAGAAGCCATCATGAACAAATCAACCAAACTCCCCACACACTTTCAGAGCTGGAAGGGGCATCAGCAATGATTGAGTCTGCCAGTGACTCATAAACTGCTTTGATAATTAGTAAACTCCCTAGAGAGCCATGTTGTATATTGAGGCCTTTGGATCTTGGAAGTGCATAGATGGGGTGGAGAATTCCAACTCAGCTTCTCACTAGATCTTAACCATTTAACCTCTCCGTTTTCTCACTTATATATTACTGAGAAAAATAAATATATTTAAAGTGCTTTCAATATACAGTAGAACCTCAATATATGGACCGAATCTGATATTATATTTATTTTAAAATATTAACAATAAAAAAACATGTCCCTGGCTCAAATTTAGGAGGCAGTATAAGACATACTATCTCAATGCAGCATTGTTATGAACTGAATGTCAGGGCTCCCCTAACCTATATGTTGGTATCCTAACCTCCCATATGATTGTATTAGGAGGTGGGGCCTTTGGGAAGTAATTAAGTTTCAATGAGGTCATGAAAGTAGAGCCCCCATGATGGCATCAGTGTCCTTATAAGAAGAGAAACCAGAGCACTCTCTCTTTCAGGGGAAGGTGGCTATCTGCAAGACAGGAAGAGAGCTCTCACCAGGAACCAGATCTACTGGCACCTTGATCTTGGACTACTCAGCCTCCAGAACTGTGAGAAATAATTGTTTGTTGTCTAAGCCACCCAATCTATGGTATTTTGTTATAGCAGCCTGAGCTAAGCATAAACCGATGTGAAGGTTACTGAATATTGCTGGGTGAAGGCTTGTTGTTATCACATAAGTTCTCTTTTGCCCTTCAGATATCTTGTTTCTTATGTGCTTATAAATCCAAATACAGTGGTAGAATAAGACAAATCATCTATCCTATAAAAAAAGTGTTGAAGGTAGAAATATGACACTGCTACAGAGTAAGAAAGTAATAACTCTCACGAGCCAAGAAACAACTTGAAACAACCTCTAGGAGTGAAAGGAATAGTCTCCCATCAGGCGGCATATCCAGTTGTAACTAACTCTGGGTCCCCAAGGACAAAAGGGATGTGCTTTCATATATCGTGGGGGAGCGGGGAGTGGCCCCCAGCTGTTACTACAACAGCATAGATGCCTGGGCTCCCTGCTCTGGGGCTCCAGTCCTCATCGGTTTCCCTGCCGTGTATGGGTCATGGTGACTCTATTTCGGGGTTGTTATGAGGGTGAAATACGGTTACATATGAGGAGTACTTTGCAAAGTTTTTCATTGTCATTTAAAACATAGAGGAGCTTTTTAATTGACACTTTCAGAAATTTCTTTAAAATTGTCTTCCCTCAAATTAAAAGCACCTTAAATAGTTATCAGTACAGAGTTGACAAAATACATCATGGTAAATTAAAAACAATGGGATAGCATTTAGCCATGAGCAGCCATGACAAAGGCTAGTCTATATGGAATAGTATGAAAATATTTCCAAGATATAGTGTTACATGAAGAAAAGCAAATTGCAGAACAGTATGCTTAATGTCATCTCAGCTACATGAAAAATATGTCCGTAAGTGTCTAATCAAAGAGTATACAACAAACTGTGAACAGTGATGACCTCTGGAGAATGTGGTGGGGTGGGAAGTTTTCATTTTTAACTTACATACTTCTATTATATCTTTTATAATTAAAAATCATAAACTATATTTTTCAAAAATTTTTGCATATAAGAAATAAATTAGAAAAAGACACTGAAGAGGGCACAGAGGGGATAAATGGTGATGGAAAAAATAAAATAAAATAATTTTTTTAAAAGAAAGACACTGACTAAATAGGTATCACATTCAGCTGCGTTAAGATAAGAACGTGAACCCAACTGGTGTGGCTCAGTGGTTGAGTGTTCACCTATGAACCAGGAGCTCATACTGGGGCTGTGGGCTCGACCCCTAGTTGGGGGCTGCCTTGGGGTTTGCAGGAGGCAGCTGATCAATGATTCTCTCATCATTGATGTTTCTATCTCTCTCTCCCTCTCCCTCTCTGAAATCAATACAAGTTTATTTTTTTAAAAGATAAGAAAGTGATATTGTCTGCAGACCAGCTGAGAATGTTTTAGTTATTTTTTTAAAAGATAAGTGATATTGTCTGCAGACCAGCTGAGAATGTTTTAGAAGTCATTAAGAAAAATGAAGAGGAAAGAGCAATAAAATAATTCTCAAGGCAAAAAGTGAAAACTTCGTAAGATCATGAAAAATTAACTTGACGTGGCCTCAGATTGTTGGATGATTCAGCACCTTTGGTAACCACTAGCTGTTTCTCTGCTAGGGAGGCCCCTGCCAAGCCTGCTTCCCAGGTATCCAGCACATCTCCACTGCATGGTGGAGACTCCAGGTCCCTCTAGGGCAGTGGTTCTCAGCCTTCTGGCCCTTTAAATACAGTTCCTCATGTTGTGACCCAACCATAAAATTATTTTCATTGCTACTTCATAACTGTAATGTTTTTACTGTTATGAATCGTCATGTAAATATCTGATATGCAGGATGATCTTAGGCGACCCCTGTGAAAGGGTCGTTCGACCGCCAAAGGGGTCGCGACCCAGAGGTTGAGAACCGCTGCTCTAGGATTTGATCTAGCACCATTCATATCTGACATTATCATTAAAAAGTGTAGGTAATTGTTTATCTGCCCACTAAGTGAACCCCCAAAATAGAAGGAAGATTCATCACCCAGGGCTTAACGACCTTGAACACGCAGAGCAAAGACCCTCTCTGGGTGAGTCAATGAGATAAACAAAGGGGCTTTCTCTGTCCTCTTCCCCAAACCAAACCTATTTGTTTATTCCCTGTGTGAAAATACGTTTGTTGTCCTCGTGGTCTCATCCACTTCTGTACTTCAGGCTAGAAAGAAAGCTCTTACCTCCTTCGGTATGTTCACTATGAGGCCCAAGGCAGGAACCACGTTAACACGCAGGTGTGCGCCACATCCTGATTTCACAGTTGGCTGAGGGATCCCTGCGTTGATCTTCCAGATCTAGAATCCAATAAATAAAGTACAGGCCTTGTCTGACACGCCTCCTCCCCAGAAGGCAATGAGGACGTCCACTGCCTGGCCCAGCGTCAGGGCTCCCCGCCTCATGGGCACCCCGGGACCGGGACCGCAGTCAGATCAGGCCTGCAGGAGGTTTGAAAGGGGAGACTGCATAGTCAGTACCTCCCGCATACCCAGGCTAACTTCTGAAGACAGTTTCTCCACCGCTCACTCCCACCCGTCCAGACTTTTAAACCTTCTTACTCTCCTGGATTAGGAGGCTATGTTTCCCAAGCCCTGTCTGAGCTCCTTAACCCAGAAATAGAAGAGTGCTGACCAGGCATAGGGGACTGGGGGCTCGGGAGACGGAGCCTGGAGGGGTCCATGCTGAAGCCAAGCAGGAGACAAAGGCATTCTTCCTTGCAGCTGGCTTGTTTCTGTTTGCAAAACTTGATTAAAACACCCTGCCCTTCCTCATTTACTCCTGTCATGGACACTTTTCCCCTAAGATATAACCAAAACCACTGTAAATCACTATTCCCAGACAACATAGTTTTAAAATAAATCTTAAGAAGCCCATATATGTCCTGGTAGGTACTAAATACTCTTTGGGAATTTGCAAAGAAACCTATACTCTGCTTACTAACATATAGTGAGTAGGTCAAGCTTGTTAATCACGTTACTCTAATCCTCTTTATCCTTATTCTTCCTGATCTGCCCATCTTTGAAAAACATGTTTTAGAGCAGCAGTTCTCAACCTGTGGGTCGTGACCCCTTTGGCAGTCGAACGACCCTTTCACAGGGGTTGCCTAAGACCATTCTGCATATCAGATATTTACATTATGATTCATAACAGTAACAACATTACAGTTATGAAGTAGCAACGAAAATAATTTTATGGTTGGGTCACATCAGGAGGAACTGTATTTAAAGGGCCAGAAGGTTGAGAACCACTGTTTTAGAGATTTCTATACATACAGATTTAACAATTTATCCTTGGAGTTCTGAATCTTTGCATTATGTGTTTTGACGCTATGTAATTAAATAATTAGATTAAACCATATAAAATCACTATTGGCAATTACTAGTAGGTCATTATAATACATGAAGGTTTATGGTTGTTTTGTTTTCTTGGTAGAGGGTGACCTATTAAAATAAAATGAAACCCTTACGAAGCCTTTTTGCCTTGATTTCTCTTTTGTCCAATATTAATATTTTCACATTGTCTTAATGCTTGTGAGTGGTTGACTGCTAACATTTTTTCTTCAAATTAACTAAAAGTTAAGACTGATACAATGCTCTATTATTGAGAGTATGAGGAAAAAGGCCCTCTCCATTCACTACTGGTGGGAATGTGCATTATCTCACAGTTTTGGAATTAAATTAGATTAACTTTTAACTGTGATTTACAAAATTATAATTTTTACTTTACTAAATTTGTAATATGTAAACTCTTTGGTCCAGCAATCCCACTTAGAAGTATCTGATAAAACTATATACACACACAAAAATGTATATAAAAATGTTCATTAACATAGTCTGTGATCATGAAATATTAGAAACAACTTTTAAAAAGTTAAAAAATTGTAGAATGGTTAAATATCTTTTTCTTTTTTTTTAAAAGCAGATCAGTGCCCTTGCCGGGTGGTTCAGTTGGTCATCGCGTGCACCACAAGGTTGTGGGTTCAGTTCCAGTCTGGGCACATACCTAGGTTGCAAGTTTAATCCCCATTGCCTAAGGGAGGCAATTGATTGGTATTTCTCTCACATCTATGTTTCTCTCGCGCTCTCTCTATAGTCCTCCCTCTCTCTCTAAAATCAATAAAAACATATCCTCCATTGAGGAAAAAAGAAAAAAAAAGCAGATAAGTATCCTCTGTCATGAAAAGGTGCTCATTTTTTTTAAGTGAAAAGGCAAACTGCTGAAATAGAAGGGTGGGCAATAGCAGGTTTACAGTTGTAATACAAATAATATAATAATAATAATACAAGAATAAGCTATTTCATGTACTCAGAACTATAAACCTATTTTTGCCCACCCCTTTCTAGCCTGAAGTATATTATTACTGCATTAGCCTCACAAATTACCTATTGACTATAACTAAATGATGGTAATTTTTTTAAAGGTTTGAAATAGAAATGTTTCCTGTTGGGCACAAGCACAGAAGCTGAGCCTGTTCATTCAATTGCCCTTAATGGAGATATAATAACCATTGGGATCTTTTCCAAATCCTTTGGTATTAGATGAGCTTTTTTGCAATTAGTGCAGCAGTAGCTTTTGGTTTTGAAGTCCCTGCAGCCATAAGTTTGACTTTAAGCAGCTGATTACTTTTGCAGTAGTAGATTAGATGATTTCTTATAACCATGTGAAATTTTTGTTCAGGTTTTTTTTTGGGGGGGGGGGGTAGAACTTCATTTATTCAAGGTCTTCTTGATGACTTGCCTCAGCCAGAATTGGCTGGTAGGTTTCACCTTGTGTGACAATTTGGTACACTGGGTTGAGATTTTGAGACCACATTTTGCTCAGTGGAAAAGGGGATCCTGCTCAGTTAGTGATGTCCGCTATGGAAAAACAATGGATATTAGTGATGGCTGTGCATGTGCCATCAAGTCAGGACAGTAAAGCCCTACATAACCTTTAAAAATCCACTAAGGTACCTACCCTTAATGTGTGGAGAAGGAAAACTCTACTTCTCCCTCTTTAAGTTTAGTGAACCTGGTTTGTGTATTTAACTGGACAAAAGACAGATTAACAGGAAGAAAGGAAAACAATTTTATTAATTTTGTATGTGCACAGGAGTGGGGGAAAGTATCACTATTTAATATATTGGCATTGCCCTGATGTCCCAGCATCATAAGAAAGAGAAATCAACAGATGTCCCACTCCCCACTGCTGCCTCTCTTGTTCTCCCTCCCTTCCTTCCTCCCTCCTCCTCATAGGTCTGAATGAGGACTCTCTCATGCAGAGTTTCCACCTGTCGGTTCCTCTAAGATTGAAATTTTATGCTAAATGTTTATGTGGGGGTGGCAGATCCACATGGATTCTCAAAGGGGGATGATGACTCCAAGAGAGGTGAGGACAGTGGCATGGAGCATGTCAGACAACCCTGGTCCTCACCATGTCCCAGGCCCTACGTGGTGTCCACTGAACACCTCCTACTGAATCCTCCCAGGGGACTGCAATGAAGAGCTGAGCCCAGACTTGACACTAGCGGGTTCGGTGAGTGAATCCATGCAACAGCCAATGCTGAACTGTCCAATCCCATCTCTTAACTCTTACTTCCTCATCTATCAGAAAGGGGAGAGGGTTCTATAATTTATTTTACTCTGTGCCATTAAAGGATATTTTTAGAAAGAAAATATAATCATGTGGCCATAATGACCTCTTCCGCACTTGGGGGGTAGGGGAAAAGAGGGAGGGAGAAGTTCTCTGGTATCTTTCATAAGAGCACTAATCCGATCATGAGGCCCCACTCACATGACTGTATCTAACCCCAATTACTTCCCAAAGGCCCCCATTACATTGTGGGTTAGGGCTTTAGCATATACATTTTGGGTAACACAAATATTCAGTCCGTACCACTGAGCAAATTAGTGAAACTGAGTCTTAGTTCCTTCCTGGAACTCATTATACCTACCTAGAAGGGTCTTGAGAGGATTAAATAAATTTCAATGTACATCTATAAATCTGCTTAGGCTGAGTTATGCTATGGAAACAAATGACGCCCAGAGGTCAACGACTTACAACATCCAAGGGTACTTGTTCATGTTCACATCCTCAGCATGTCAGCTGTGCTCTGCTCCAAATCTTTATTCCAAGAGCAATATTGAAGAAGTGGCTTCTGTCTGGGACAGGCAGGTCTCATGGCAAAGGGAATAGAGACATGGCAGAACCTCTCAGGGGCTCTCAGAACTGCTCAGAAATGCCATCACTTGCATTCACATTTCAACAGCCAAAGCAAGTCATGGCCAAGCTAATGCAAAGTACAGTCCTTCCAGAGGGGCAGGCCAAATAAATATTTTAGCAATCATACAATCTATCACAGTATATAAAAGTATAACCAGTAACTGCTAGTGTCCTTCCCTACTGATCCTGCTGAGGAAGACAGTGGTAGAGCATGCCAAGGCAGTGTAAAGCCATAGTTAGCAGTCTAGGTTCTGGAGATGACTGCCTGAGTTTGAATCTGGACTCTGCCATTTTCCAGCTGTGTGACTCTGGGCAAGTTTATTTAACTTCTGTGCCTCAATATCCTCCTCTGTAAAATAGGAATAACAGTATCTATGCCACAGAGCTGTGGATTAAGTTAGTTCATGTATGTAAAGTGTTTAGGGCAGTGCATGGCGTATAGTAAACCCTATGTAATTAACTACTGCTATGGCTGCTGTTATTGTTATTACTGAAGAAGCCTGGCTTGAAGTCAAAAGTTGATTTAAAATTCCAGCTTATCGCCCTAACCGGTTTGGCTCAGTGGATAGAGCGTCGGCCTTCGGACTGAAGGGTCCCAGGTTCGATTCCGGTCAAGGGCATGTACCTTGGTTGTGGGCACATCCCCAGTAGGGGGTGTGCAGGAGGCAGCTGAACGATGTTTCTCTCTCATCGATGTTTCTAACTCTCTATCCCTCTCCCTTCCTCTCTGTAAAAAATCAATAAAACATATTTTTAAAAAAAAAGCTCAAGAGAATAAAATTAAAAAAAACTGGACTACTTGGGATCTGATTCCAACTATACCACTTTCAAGCTGTGTGAGTTGAGGCAAGTTACTTAACCCCTGTGTGCTCCAATTGCATTACCTGTAAAATCAGAATAATAATCACACCTTGTGTTCATAGGAATGTTGTGGGAGTTAAATGGTTAATATATGTAAATGTAAATATATATATATATGTGTGTGTGCAAATGTGTTAGAACAGTGCCTGGCTCTTGGGAAATGACCGGTCCTGGATGGCACACATAAGTGCTTAGTAAGTTTCACTAGTATTCTTTTCTCACAGGGCTTTGAGGATTGACTAAATAATAGGCATGAAGGTGCTTTATATAATGTACTAGTCAAGTGTGAAGACTTAGGAATCTGCAGTGTAGACTTCTATGGCTATGTAATTAGGATTAATCAGATTACTAGGCAGCAGTAAACACTTTTAAAAGTGTATCCAGTTCAGAGTGACCCTCTTCAAAGCCTCCTTGAGGTGTGAATGGGCCCCAGCTGCTATTTTTGGAGCTTGTGAATTACAGAAGCAAAAGCTGGCCCTCCGCCCTGCTTCCAGTAGGACAGAGCACTTTGCACCCTGAGATGAAAAGAGATTGCCGTCATCCTAACTGGTTCTTATCTCCAAAATAATAAAGCCAAGAATTTCCTGCAAACCTGGACGAGCTAACCAAAACCATTTCCTCTCTAAGTTCTGCTATGCTGGCATTCACAGGCGCACCATGGCCTTTGTGAAACTGACAGTCATGTGGGGAAGTTACTGTCTTCCCACCATAGCAGACATTGGTAACTGTCATAATCTTGGTGATTTGAGGTTCTATTTTAAAAGTACTTCTGTGGGTTTTTTGTTTTTGTTTTAATTTGGGAAATCTGTTCTCTTGTACTTTTTGTAAGTAAACTTTATTTTTCCTTTTCTAAATGTTTCTGTCTTGCCTAGAGTTGATTGGACTAGGGGTCACACTCAACATGGGCCAAATTCTCCCTCCATGAATGTGTATTTGTTTTTCTTTTTCAGCTTCTTAAACCAGGAAGATATGAACTGGGGAGCTGTGGAGTAACCATCTTCACCAGATATGGGACAGAGAGGTGGAGAAAGTTCAGCCTGCAGAGTGAAATAAAGCGAGGCAAGATGAAGTGGGAATGAGATAGGGATGGGGGACAGTGCTGTCACCCAGTAGCCCCACAGCCTCCACCCTAGCACACTGCTTTATTCTCTTCGTAACACTAATCACTACCTACACGTTTGTTTGTTTGTGCCTCTGTTCCTACAAGAATGAATCTAAGTGCTGTGAGGGCAGGATAATTGTCTTGCCCATCTGACTCCCAGTGCCCAGATCAATGCTTGGCATATTGTGGAAATTCTATAAATACTGACTGGATAAATGAATTCTATTTAATTGTTTACAATCAAATTAAAAATCTGAGAACTTATGTCCCATTGTTTCAAAAATCTTGTTATCTGCTATGAGCTATTACAACTTTAAAAGAATTAAGAATAGTGACCAAATAATAATCTTATATGGTTAATTTGGAAGCCTGAAACTAAAAATGACAAGAGCCTGCATTGCATGAAATGGGTTGCATTATAGCATCACTTCAAGAAGGCCAAGCCTCATGGGTCACAGGGTCTGGGATGATTTCTCCCAGCCATAACTGGGGTTAAAATGATGAGTCAGCAAAAAAAAACAACAAAACTGGATACCTGAGGACTTGAAGATGGAATTTAGAAACAGGATATAAATAAGTATGGGGTAAGAAACTTACCAAAAGATATCAAAGCAAAGCATAAGATGCTATTTTTTTTAAAAAAAGAAAAAAGTATTCTGGCAGGTTTAAAAAAGTACCAAATAGTCCATTAAAAAATACTATCCTTGATAGTAAAAACTCAATAAACCCATTGAAGAAATATTTCTGATTTAAAGGGAGGAAATCTTTAAATGCCTGGAATACATCATTGAGAGAGAAATCCACTCCTCTCACTTTCCCCTCCCCCCCCAAAAAATTCCAGAGAGGCTAAGACATAGCCCCTCACATACCTACTCAGATTTCAGGAGAAGGTAGGAGAATAATTCTTAGATGATAACCAAGCATTTTCCAAAATTGAATAAAAGAAATAAAATTGAAATTTGGAGAGCACAACAAATCCCAAGCAAATAAAAAAAAAAAACCCTACATCTAGGTGCACTGTAGTGCAACCACATGGCACAAAGGACCAAGGTCTTAAAAGCAGCCAGAGGTTCAGATGCTTCAATGACTGTCCTGCTTCAAAGCTCTCGAGGGCTTCATTTCCCCTGGTAAACTGAGAGTAGTCCCCAAATTTCCACCCAAAACTCACAGTATATATTTAAGAAAAGAATGACATCTGACCAATAAGTAGAAATTTCTGGTTTTAATCACAGTATGATGTGTCTGGCAAGAGTAAACTCTTGATATTTGATTTTAAAAGGGGCAATGGATGATGGAAATTTAACAGTGTTGATCCAACACTGTCCAAGAAGAAACTGTATATTCCGGGCAACTAGAGATGTGCAGTGTGATGGGGCAGGATGACCTGTGCCTGGCCAGCTTTTCCTTCCAGACACGCCATTTCCCTTCCTTCGACTGGTGCCCTGAACGAGAATACCCATAACTCCTTTTCTCAGGCTTTTAGCCTTTTCTGACTTCATCCCAAAGAAGTTTCTTTCATATACATGTGAAAAAAAATCCAACTCTACAAAGCGGCTGTGCACTTCTTTGAATCCTGACACTTAACATCTGCAAGAGCTGCTTGCTCAGGACAGCTATTCAGAAGGCAGGAAGAACACAGCACTAAATATCTCGGAAATTTTTATTTTCCTCGCCAACATCTTTTCCAGCATTTTATTAACTAATGATAAGTGACCATTAGAAATTATTTGGCTGTATATTGCTTTCAAAAAGCAGTAAGAAAGTGGCCATTTAGAAAAAGGAGGTACATCAGGTTAGAAACATTATACAAAATGAGAATCCCATCACATGGAAATACATAATCAAAGGTTAGACTAACAAACCAAACAGGCTCTATTCAAATGAGAGCGCTCCATTTCTTTGAGAAGAATTTTTCTTCCTCAGACTCTTCCACAAACACTTCATAATGAACAAAGAACTTATTTCTTTGTAAGCTGAGGTATGACAACATAGCTATGCTATAGTGAGAAGCTGGGATACAGTTTGACCTCTGAAACCAATTATCTTTGAGTTAGTCATTTAAGCCAGGATAGAGGAAGCTCGGGGAGGGGCAAGGCAAACCGTGACAGGAAAAGAATTGAAGAAGCCTGCCACCCATTTTACCAAAACAAGCTCCAAAGTGGTCCTCCTGCTCCCCCCACCCCACCACTTCACACAGTAGAAAAATTTAATGAGGAAGGAGCCTATATTGCTCACCTATATATATAAAACCCTAAGAGACCGTCTCACTGTCCAACCAGTAGCTATAACACACACTGACCACCAGAGAGCAGACACTCAACACACAGGCATAGACACATGGAACAGACTGATGAATCTCAGAGGGAAGTGGGGGGGGAGGGGTAGAGCAGGAAGAGATTAACCAAAGATCTTATATGCATACTAGAGGCCCGATGCGGGTCCCTTGACCTGGCCTGCAGGGAATTGGGTCAAAACCAGCAGTCCAACATCCTCCGAGGGGTCCCGGACTGCGAGAGGGCGCAAGCCAGGCCAAGGGACCCCACTAGTGCATGGATCCGTGCACCGAGCCTCTAGTAAAATAATACAGTCCCTTCACTTTGTTTTATTTTTTAAAGTGCAGCTCTTCAAGAATTTCATTTTTTTAAAAATCACCTGCAAAGAAAGGGGAAAAAAGAGAAAGAAATGCACTTAATTCAAAAACTGACTTTTTAAAAAATTGAATTTTTCCCATCACCATTCATCCCTCTATGCCCTCTTCCACCTCCACCCTCCCCCTCCCCTGTGCAATTACCACACTGTTGTCCATGTCCATGAGTTTTCTTTTTGCTCACCCTGCCTCCTACACTAACCACCTCCCCCCAATCCCCAGCGGCCTGCCTGCTTTCTATCTATGAGTCTGTTTTTGACTTTTAACACTCCCAGGGTAAGTGAACGACCAAAACCAAAGCCAGGTCCACAAACTCCAGAAGATCCCTGCAGCAGGGAAAGGTGTCCTATCAGAAGGTGGCTGCCGGAAGGTCTCAGCACAAAGGGCTCCCACTCCTTCCTCAGGTCCCTCCTCTCATCCCTGAGCTCACTGGTGCCTAAAATGAATTCTGTAAGCATCCTGTGACCTCAGTATCTGTCTTATGCTGCAAAGGTGATGGGCCTACCTCACTATTCCTCTGGGGACGCGTAAGCCCTACCAGCTATTTTCCTCTCCATATAAGTGAAGAGATAACACTTTGCCCTGAGCGTAGGTTTTAATAAGGGAGCAAAGGGTACCAGGCACCAGGAGATTCGCTCTCATACAAACAACTCAAAATAAATACCTAATAGTGACATTCATCTGACACAAATGATATGATAACATCATATATGTATAAAAGTTAAGTATGTTACCATCTTCTGTGAGAAATACCAGCACACACACACCTCTTCCTCCCCCCAATAAACTTTAACAAACCTTTCATAGCAAGTGAGTTCACTCTTCTGCTTACTTCCTTTTAACCCAGGTTTCTGACCCTCGTCATGTACTTGTCTGGGGTGGCAGCGCTCATTACTGTAGTATAAACCGTGAAGCTGAAAAAAATGAGAGAAATGTTTATATAGGCATCAGTTTCCCTAGGATTCCAAAGAAGAGAAAAAAATACTAAGCCCTTCCCTAACACTTGGGACCTAGGGTAAGAATACCAACAGAGGCCCACATATGTCAGAATATTTAAAATTTATAATTCAAGGGACCACACACTCAAGGTGATCATTCCTCCTATTTTGATGACACTGTGAAAGGCCATGTTCAAATTTTAAAATTCTGACTCCTCAGAGTTGCATGCTGGGCACTGAGGAAGATCCAGCCTTGACCCTCACCCCTTGCTCTGCCCTACGCTGCTGGGGAGTGGGGGGACATGTATGTGGACACCTCAGCCTTTGCATCTAGGCTTCATGCATGACCCCCAGCAAACATCCCTTGGCCACAGGATGCCCACAATGGCTGCACACCACCATCAGGAGACCACCGCCTCCCACAGAAATGAGCTAAGAATTGCCGAGTACTTGAGCCAGACTGGGTGGACAAATGCACCTGGCCCAGGGGAATCTTATATGAAGACAGGGTCGAGGATGGCCAGGGCTCAGGAATCGAGATAGGAGGCCCACTTGCTCAAATCCAAGGATGAAAGTATGATGTCATTTACTCAACATCCTGCATCATTCTGCCCAGCAGGAGACCTCAACAACCTGAGCCCAGGTGCACACACAAGGGCCTCTTCCCTTCACTCCCTTCACCTACCACTTGTGCTGGACACTAGCTGGGATGATGTTCAAAGCACCTGGAGCTGGGTTGCTCAGGAACAGGCAGAGTTAGTGGCCCTGGGCCCTACAGCTGAATCAGACACCCAGCTAAAGAAAGCACTAAGGGCATGTTTCCTGAAGTAGGACCTTGGCTGCTTATTTACCTTAGTGATAATTCTATTCTCCATCACGGTTTTAAAATTTTCTCTGCTTTTAGCCACAGCAGAGCATGGAGTTCTACTGCAGGTGAGTGTAATTTTATAGCACAGCACAGCATAGAGCTAACTTCTGTTCAGGCTTATTTCTATTAACCTCATACAGTAAAGGGCCCGAGAGTCAGGGATCTGTGTTAATTCTGGCTCAGTGGTGATTATTTTTTTTAAAAAAATTTATTTATTGTCTAAAGTTTAGTGGTGATTATTCTTTAAATGCAGTTCCTCTTGGGCTTTCAATTACACAACAGAGAAAAATGCTACTCCGTAAACTGTTTATAATTTCTAACATTCTATTTCGACAAAACATTTCAGAGTCATTTCAACATTCACAGCCTTTAACTTAGTAACCCCACATCTGGGAATCCAGGCAAGGGAAATATTCAAAAGTTGGGGGTGGAGGGGGGTGTAAAGCGGAGAGAGAATTGCACAAATGTGTTTATTTCAGAGCTTTCATAGAGGAAAACCTAACAACTGGAAAATGCTTAACTCAGTTATACTACATTCTACTGCTATGCAGCTATTTAAAATTATAAGGGTTACTCACAGCATGGGAATGCTTTATTAAAGTAAACATAAGTATTTTATTACAATACTAATTTAAAAATATATATTCATAATTTATATAATTATTTTCAAAACTATAAGTCAATATAATAGAATCAGGGGCATAGAAAGGGAGTGGACTGACAATTTTCGGGGGGAAAGGGGTGCGGGGGGTGCGGGAAGAGACTGGACAAAAATCGTACACCTATGGATGAGGACAGTGGAGGGGGTAAGGGCAGAGGGTGGGGTGGGAACCGGGTGGAGGGGAGCTATGGGGGGAAAAAGAGGAACAACTGTAATAATCTGAACAATAAAGATTTATTTAAAAAAAGAAAAAAAACTATAAGAACACAAAAACAGGTTTTTAACCCCTATCTTTTGAATAAACACAAAAAGGGCAAAATTGTGCCCTTCCAGAAAGGGTACAGCCAGTGTTGCATTTGGAGTCAGTTCCTACAGGCTGGTGAGAGCCAGCTGTTAAATACGCAGGACATTTATAAATCAACTGTACGCTTGAAATAAGTACTCCCAGGTAGGAGTACTTATACCATGGGAGCTAATAAATACTATAAATCAGGGGGGTCTTTTGTTTGTTTTTTGCTCCCCACCAAACAGCTAGTTTACTAGCATACCACTGGGTACCACTTGTTACCCAAGTAGCTCATTTGGGTAGAGTGGTAAAATACTGACTGACTAGGTAATTTGGTTTTTCTGTATTTGGTTGTTAGAATATTGTTTCTGGAACAAACTGTTTAGCATTCATCTTTTTATCAGGCCATTAAAAAAAAAACTTTAGAACAGGTATTTTGAGATATATATTCCTACTACTGTACCAAGTAAAAAGAGTAACACCAGTTTTGCAAATGTCATTACACATAACAAACCTTAAAGCACCATATACGAGTTACTTTAGAGGCCATCAGGAAAACCCCTATTTTGTGCTTGTGTAAAAGAGGATTGTTTTTTTAAAAAAAAGCCATTGGGTATTTGAAACTAAAAACCACTTTGCAGGTTTTACCTGCATTCGCTATTTCTTGAAGAATACTATTTTGATACTCCTGTCTTGGAGAAAGCAGAAGTGAGACTGATGAGTCGGTAGGCAATGCTCGGCTCTGGGATGTATTGAGCAGAAGCTAAAACTCTGTATCGACTTGCAGGTGCTTCCTCTTTATTTTAGTCAGTTAAGTCCTACCACAGAAGCAAAACAAGGTGCCAGCACTCCTCGTGAGTGGCCTCAGGTGTGAGTAAGGCCATAGAAAGCACCCGGAGGGGGACGATCACCAGCAGGCTGAGCTGACCAGCCTTGCGGCGATGGTGAAGTTCAGATCCTCCTACGAGTTTGGAGGTGGCTGCCTCTCACCTTTAACTAAGAGCTTCCTGTGGCAGTGGTGGTGATAGCCCAGTGGTTCACTTCAGAAAACGAGGTGGGTAAAGTCCCAGGCTGTGGACTGTCAAGGGCATGGGAACTTAGATACTGAGTGATCTGCGGAATGAGCCCAGGGTAGCAGAACCTCCCCAGGAAGACAAAGGGAGGCCAAAGCTGTCTCAAGTTTAGATCTAACAGTGAAATGAAGGGGCTCCCACACAGAGTTAGGATGAAAACAGCTCTGTTTTTCTTTACCTTTGTTTTTCTTGGTGGACTTGTCACCTGACTTATGACATACTTGTTTATCTACCTCTCCTGGGCCAGCAGAATGCGAGTCCCGTGAGAGCAGACTTTGTTTTGTTCCCTGCTGTTTCCACAGCACCTAGAAAGCCTGCTCCACAGGAGCCCTCAGATCCCTGTTGAGCCAAAGGGCACACGAGTCCACCTTCTGGGGTGACGTGAGAACAGATGTGAACAGATGCCACTTACTTGTTATACACCGGAAACACCGACAAAACCTGCACAGGAGAAAACCGTATTACAAACTGTCAGAGTGGAGAAGAAATCCATACAGGAAGAATAAAACCCCTTAACACTTCGGCCTGTCTCAGAGTGACAGTTACAGACTTCTGCATCCTTTCTCCTCTGAAACAATGACCATTTATCACATCTGTCCCTTTTTCTAACACGCAGAAAAATGTAGGTGAAGACAGATACTTCAACCCACAGAAGCAAATTCAGAAAATGTCATCTGACTTTTAAAAAAATGTTTTCAACCAGGTAAAACTTTTATTCTAGCATTTGCTTCTACCACATCTGCTTGACTTTACAGGAGAAAATGTTCTTACATCACTACTAACAAAGACACCAAACATCCTGAGCGAAAACTGGGCGTCCCAACGAAGTTACCTGGAAGAGGGCCTCCAGGCTGAGGTTGGCCTGGCCCGTGGCGTTAAGGGCTTTGATGGCGGGTGTTCTGTAAGGACAATGGTCAAAGGTCACTTGGCACTTCAGGAAACCCTGAGTCCCACCAGTTCTCATTTGGGGAGACTCAGTGGGAGGCCCAGCCTCCTTACCTCCCTTTCCTCAAAACAGATTTGGCCCCCAAGCATGTTTCCTCCCTAGTCCCAGAACCCCTCGGTGGAATGAGTCCAACAGTCGCACCCACTGAAGCTGGGCTGGGGAGAACAGTTGCCACCAAACCCCGAGGGGCCGTAAAGCCAAGGGGAATATCTGCTCTTTGGGGACGCACTGACTTACAACCACAGAAGCTGCAAAATTAGCAGGGACAACAAAAGCCCCCAACTGGTCTAGTTATTTATTTCAGTATGAAAAAGATTTTCCTTCCAAAAAAAAGTCTTACATAGAAACCATGAATCTTGCTCTACCTTTTCCTTTTACAGATGACTGAACAGAGACTCAAGAGAACCGAAATCATCTTTTTTCCCCACCACCAGCCAGAGCCAACCTTACGTTCCCAATACCCAACCAACTACTAAAAGGCTCTCCCCCGTGTTCCCCACCACGCTCTATCTCACCGCCACCTGGCACTGGCAAGGGGGCCCAGGTATATTTTCTGGGAGGGGATAGCACCTGTAGTTCTCTTGAGTTCCTGTGAAAGGAGGGGTACGTTCTCCTGATCACAGAATATACTGGGAAGCAGAGAGAGGCCCACCTTCGGTCATCCCTCGCAGGCGCTGGCTTCCAGTGGTCATAATTTGTCTCCACTCGGAACCACCTACAACACAGCACATCATCTTATCTTTCCAAGGTCATTGGAGACATTAAGTAAAGAAGAAATATATAAAAATGAAAAATACCTCCAGTTTCATCAATTAAATATAGATTATTAATGCGAAATGAGCAGAGCCTTTCATTCTACTCACGCTCCATTTAAAGGATCTAGAGGCCAAATGTCTGCCGGGCCTCTTCTGTTCCTCGTGATGACCACTCCTTCCCGGGGGGACATGCCGCCAACAATGTAGTACACATCAGCAATAAGCGGAGTCTTGGCCAGTTTGTCAACAGCTGCTTCGAAGTTTTCCGATTCGCTCAGGGTCTGAACAGAGACAAACCTGCGTTAGCATCATCAGTCACACCAGTCGATGGCCAAGGGGTCCAAAGCACATCCTCCTGATATTTGAACCCATGATCACAACCTTGAACTGCTCTGACTTCATCCTCTTGTCATCAGGACTCTTGAAATGGAAGAAACCTCAGCGGGGAGCCAACTGCACAGGATTTTTCTCACAAAAGGGAAGAACTGCTGACAAGCTCTAGGCCCAGCTCAGAAAACATGGGCCGCGTGTTTTTCTAGGCAGACCACTCCCCATGTTTCCTCATTCATTTGCTCTTTCAACAGGTATTTTTTAAATATTATTTGTATTGATTTCAGAGAGGAAGTGAGAGGGAGAAAGAGATAAAAACATCAATGATGAATCATCTATTGGCTGCCTCCTGCACACCCCACACTGGGGATTGAACTCGAAACCCGGGCATGTACCCTGACCAGGAATCGAACTGGTAACCTCTTGGTTCATGGGTCAACGCCCAACCACTGCACCACACCGGCTGGGCTCCACAGGTATTTCTTGAGTACCTACTATGTGCTAGACACCATGCTGGTATGGAGACAGCAGTAAATACGACCGACCCAGCCTTGTTCTCCCCAAACTTCTAAGGATGACAGGAAAATCAACAGAAAATGGTGATGCAATGTAATGAGTGTCAACAAGGAAAAGATGCTACGGAAGTCAGAGCAAGGGAACCATCCTCACCCATGGCATCGAGGAGGCATCTCAGGAAGGTATCACGTGAGCTGAGGCCAAAGAGACTCAGAAGTTAGAGTGGTGACAGTGGTAGCTGCGGGGTTGGGAGTGGTGATGGGGAAGAGAGTTCTAGCTCCATGGAAAGGTTTGGCAAAGGCTCAGTGCTGCTACATTAGAGTAGTGAGCTGAACTGGTGTTCAGTGACCCCTGGGGCTTCATGAAGACTTCCCATGGACTGTTAGGGAATCACTTTCCTGATCTTCAGCTTCCAAGTATGACCCTCCTCCAGCTGATTGCACAGGAATGTCCTGCAGTGGACGGCCTGCCCGTCCCACCCGCGCCTTCACAATCAACCTTCTCGCCCTGTGCGAAAGCAGTACATTTTCTGCTCACCCATCCTGAACACCACTGAGGCACAGTGTCAAGGGCAGGGTGAGGATATGGTCAAACTAAAGAGCAACTCAAAATATTCGTGTCTGCAAAGGCACCACATTCAGCACCATAACCCACCATCCCAGGGCAGGGACATGTGGGCGTTTCCCTGCCTTGTACATATCATACATACTGCTGTTAGGGGGGAGGTATTCAGACTTGAGTTAATTTGTTCTGAACTCAGCAAAATTATAAAGTGAGGCAACAGGACTGATGAAACATTTTCATTTTTTTTATTTGTTGCCTATACCATCCCCCAACTGCTATCAAAGCATGCATTCCTCTAACAGAACTGTATGAGAAAAAAGCAAAAGAACATCAGTAGGAAAAACTGGAGGCAGGGCTGACTTATTTCACTCAGAGGTAAATTGTGGTGAGAACATGTACCTTATGTTTATCTCAGGAGATGGAGGAAATAGACAGTGACGGCTAATGAGTACAGGGTTTCTTTTAAGGGGAATGAAAATGTTCTAAAATTGATTGTAGTGATAGTTGTACAACTCTGTGAGTATATAAAAAACCAGTGAGTTGCATGCTTTAAATAGATGAATTGTATGGCACTTATTTATATACCTCAATTAATTATACATCTACCTATGACCCACCAATTCCATCCTTAAGCATGGACCCAACTGAAATGGATACATATGTTTACAAAAAGACTTGTACAGGTCGGAGTGGGACCATCCAGATTGCAGCTCCTCGGATTCATAAAGGACACACTCAGGGGGCAGACTCAGTGAGCACCAAAGCCCCATTGAAGCAAGTCTTGCCCCGGAGGGGTGTCTCCAGCACAGAAGTTCTCCCACTGCAGACACAGCTGATTCTCACAGCCAATTGGCCTGGAGGTCAATCCCTCCCAGTGTTACCTACAACAATCAAGGCTTAACTACAACAAGACTGTGCACAAAGCCCACAA